TCATGGTCCTGACAAAGTGTTGTTATTTTTCGGGTCAATCAGAAATACAATTTGGCTGCCATGGCCGCTATTTTGCTACTAAGTTCTAATAGGCCGATCTCACTTAAAATTGGTCTAGGAATGATCAGCTCATGGTCCTGACAAAGTTAAGTTAACATTATACTATTTTTTACTCAAATTGGTACATATTTCAACAACAAAAATAAATACTATAGACTCAGGTGACCGTTAAGGCCCATGGGCCTCTTGTTTATCATTGTCACATACATTTTAAGAATCTTAGAGCAATTAATGTTGTTCATGTGTATGTATATATATTTTAATCTGCTCTTCATTAATGTAGCTACTATCTATCAATTCAGCAATAACTTTTTTACAAAATAACTACTTAGGACATGGGTTAGATAAGTGTTTCTTTTAATCTTAAGTAATTGTGTAAGGCAAAGTTTGACTAAGGTCAAGGTAATTTGGAGTCATATGCATTTTTTTTTCTTAAGTAAAACATATAAAGTGATTGTCATATGTAGTTATGTGTGACATTTAACAGATTTATTTGATGTCACTTATTTAAACCTTCAGTAGAAATATAAATATGTTAGAAACAGACCCTAAGTATTCATATGCCTTTTGTTATGAGACATATATCATGGTTGGCTGGCAAGAACATGTTGTGAGGAGCAGTTAGTTACCAAACTAAGCTTACCAATATATATCTTAGAAAAATAGTATGTCAAATACCGTTCTTACTCGTTAGCTTACCAATATGTACCTTAGGAAAATAGTATGTCACATACTGTTCTTACTCATTCACTTACCAATATGTACCTTAGGAAAATAGTATGTCAAATACCGTTCGTACTCATTCACTTACCAATATGTACCTTAGGAAAATAGTAGGTCAAATACCGTTCTTACTCGTTAGCTTACCAATATGTACCTTAGGAAAATAGTAGGTCAAATTCCGTTCTTTCTCGTTAGCTTACCAATATGGACCTTAGGAAAATAGTATGTCACATACTGTTCTTACTCATTCACTTACCAATATGTACCTTAGGAAAATAGTAGGTCGCATACCGTTCTTACTCGTTAGCTTACCAATATGTACCTTAGGAAAATAGTATGTCACATACCGTTCTTACTCATTCACTTACCAATATGTACCTTAGGAAAATAGTATGTCACATACCGTTCTTACTCATTCACTTACCAATATGTACCTTAGGAAAATAGTATGTCACATACCGTTCTTACTCATTCACTTACCAATATGTACCTTAGGAAAATAGTATGTCACATACCGTTCTTACTCATTCGCTTACCGTTATGTACCTTAGGAAAATAGTATGTCAAATACCGTTCTTACTCATTCGCTTACCAATATGTACCTTAGGAAAATAGTATGTCACATACCGTTATTACTCGTTAGCTTACCAATATGTACCTTAGGAAAATAGTAGGTCGCATACCGTTCTTACTCATTCGCTTACCAATATGTACCTTAGGAAAATAGTATGTCGCATACCTTTCTTACTCGTTAGCTTACCAATATGTACCTTAGGAAAATAGTATGTCGCATACCTTTCTTACTCGTTAGCTTACCAATATGTACCTTAGGAAAATAGTATGTCACATACCGTTCTTACTCGTTAGCTCAACTTTGTTGATGTCACCTGTGTTGGCATAACTTAATATATATATATATTTATGCATCTTATGAAAGGGATGTGTAACACATTCTTTTCTTGTTTTGTGCTCTACTATAAGTAGAATTATGTCCCTTCATTATTTTGATGTGGAAGTTTTGTCCAAACTGTCTATGAAGTCACTTTGGTACATGTAAACATCAGTAGGTTTGCTTGTTATGGTTCCAATGTATATCAAGACATTCAGGTATCTGTTTCATAAACAGCTAACAGTGTTTCATTAATGATAAACTAGATTCCCTTCTCCCACTGAAACCAAACTTAGTTCATATCTTGTCACTGTTTTGTCCATCTCGTGCATTTTTCCATACATTTGTACATGTTTTATTTATCTATCAGCAGTATCTTTCATGTTGCTCTTTCAATCACTGAACATAAGATAATGAATGTAAATGGATACTACAGCATATATGACGGGTGTATATTGTTCCGCCCCCAGTGGTACATACTTTGTTTTAATGGTAACTATTACAAAAGATTAAAAACATTGACATCTGATTACGGTAAAGGTGATGCACTTTTTGACAAGCCTTTTATATTCTACACTTTGAAGCACCCTATGGACAACCAGGTAAGATGGTGTGATATATGTATGTTTGTAAACAGATATATTAAAGAGAGATAACTCTGCCTGTAAGTGTTTACCTGAACTCCTCACCAGCTCGTTACTTGTGACGTGTTAAATAACTACACACTGTATAGGGGTTGTAGCAAAAAAGATGGATACACCTGTATATATCAATATTGTCTGAACTTTAGAGAATTTAAAGTGTCAGCTTAATGAAAATTTTAATGCCAGAATTTACTCATTTGAAGGTTTTTTAAAATATAAAACAGGAGTCAAGTTTGAGATAAGTGATTGATTTTTGCAACTTTACATGAAAGTACTCTAAACAATGCTGATTGAAGACTATTTTTTTGGTTTCTTGTACTGAGAGTTAAAAGTTTCTAAGATATTTATTAATGATTTTATATGTACCAGTACAAACATTATTATTTTTATAGAACAGCAGTTAAAAGGAATTTATATTTAATAGTTATCATAAATCCATGTTCAGAACAGTCTTTTTCATGGGTTTCAAGGTCTTTTCATCTTCAAGCTCCTGCTCAACCCCTGCCCACCTGTATCTTCCAACCTTTTTGTTCATATTTGTTTTATTTTTTTGTCACATATGGATTAAACTAGTCGTTAAACATTTTTATTTAAATTATGCCAAATGAATTTACATCCTGACATTTTTAGATTTTGCAGAAGCGACATTTAAGTTGTACATTTTTTGTGTGTTCGATTAAAGATCACAATGTAGTAAGCTTGTGATTAATATTTTTGAACGAAAGATATTGTCTTTGTTACAACAACTTTTGGCAATAAAATGGGGAGCTCAAGAATTGGCAGTTTAACTCAGAAAAGAAAAAAGAAGAAAAGGTCATTTGGAAAGTGTTCATTTTGGGAATGGACAATTTATGAATATGGGAGAGTACAGGAAAATTTATATATAGGCTTGGCAGATATTCTGTCTGATCGACTATTAGACTGTGTTACACACTTGTCAGTTAAAAATGCTGAAATGAAAAAAATATGAAATACTAAAACATAGCAGATTTGATTTTCCATTTGTTTTTGTGAAGACAATATCTTATCTGTTTGCATGAGTGTTGTCAATTGTAAGAGCATGAGTGTGTACATGTACTGGAGTACGACCAGATACAACATGTACTGGAGTACGACCCTACAACATGTACTGGAGTACGACCAGATTCAACAGGTACTGGAGTACGACCAGATACAACATGCACTGGAGTACGACCAGATACAACATGTTCTGGAGTACGACCATACAACATGTACTGGAGTACGACCAGAGACAACATGTACGGGAGTACGACCATACAACATGTACTGGAGAACGACCAGATACAATGGCTGTATATGTATAACCCTGGACTTTGTCCATAGAAACTTAAATAAGATAAGGTCATATGACAGTTAGGAGGGGGAAAACACCAGAAAAGTGAAGTGGTGAATTCTATCAGATACAACATGTACTGGAGTACGACAAGATACAACATGTACTGGAGTACGACCCGATTCAACATGTACTGGAGTACGACCAGATTCAACATGTACTGGAGTACGACAAGATACAACATGTACTGGAGTACGACCCTACAACATGTACTGGAGTACGACCAGAGACAACATGTACGGGAGTACGACCATACAACATGTACTGGAGTACGACCATATACAACATGTACTGGAGTACGACCAGACTCAACATGTACTGGAGGACGACCAGATACAACATGTACTGGAGTGCGACCAGATACAACATGTACTGGAGTAGGAGCAGATAGAACATGTACTGGAGTACGACCAGATACAGCATGTACTGGAGTACGACCAGATACAAGATGTACTGGAGTACGACCAGATTCAACATGTGCTGGAGTACGACCAGATACAACATGTAATGAATATGGGAGAGTACAGGAAAATTTATATATAGGCTTGGCAGATATTCTGTCTGATCGACTATTAGACTGTGTTACACACTTGTCAGTTAAAAACGCTGAAATGAAAAAAATATGAAATACTAAAACATAGCAGATTTGATTTTCCATTTGTTTTTGTGAAGACAATATCTTATCTGTTTGCATGAGTGTTGTAAATTGTAAGAGCATGAGTGTGTACATGTACTGGAGTACGACCAGATACAAAATGTACTGGAGTACGACCAGATACAACATGTTCTGGAGTACGACCATACAACATGTACTGGAGTACGACCATATACAACATGTACTGGAGTACGACCAGATTCAACAGGTACTGGAGTACGACCAGATACAACATGCACTGGAGTACGACCAGATACAACATGTCCTGGAGTACGACCAGATACAACATGTAATGAATATGGGAGAGTACAGGAAAATTTATATATAGGCTTGGCAGATATTCTGTCTGATCGACTATTAGACTGTGTTACACACTTGTCAGTTAAAAACGCTGAAATGAAAAAAATATGAAATACTAAAACATAGCAGATTTGATTTTCCATTTGTTTTTGTGAAGACAATATCTTATCTGTTTGCATGAGTGTTGTAAATTGTAAGAGCATGAGTGTGTACATGTGCTGGAGTGCGACCAGATACAACATGTACTGGAGTAGGACCAGATACAACATGTACTGGAGTACTACCAGATACAACATGTACTGGAGTACGACCAGATACAATGGCTGTATATGTATAACACTGGACTTTGTCCATAGAAACTTAAATAAGATAAGGTCATATGACAGTTAGGAGGGGGAAAACACCAGAAAAGTGAAGTGGTGAATTCTATGGTTTAGTCGACTCAACTCTGTTACATCTGAACGATGATGCTGATTACCGATTCAATACAATATCAATATGAAGATGTTGAAATATGTGAATGCATTGTATTTGAATGTACAGGTACATATATATTGAATGAAATCTCTTTCAGTAAATACATTAATGCATGAGAACTTTACTACTTGAAATTCAAAACCTTGTATACATTGATCTCTGTTATATATCTGTTTGCAGATGTCTATTTCAGTGCAGTAGTTTTCTCTGTTAACATTTTTGTTGTTCCTTGTGTTATAATAATACAGTTGACAGAGCTCAGGTTGTACCATCAACATGTCTCAGTTCAAATTTGGAAGACAAATCGGTTGAATCCTGAGTATTATAAAGTGTTGACAATATATGTGAACAGCTTTTCAGCGGCCTGATTTGCTTGAACAGCCCCAGGACAAAATTCCTCAAGTCTGAGATGCAGTACTGTGATAAAAATAGATCTGAAACAATTTGAGGAGATAGGGTGTAGTTGTGTTGTACATGTACCTGGTACATGTCCTGTGGTTTATACCTGTAGTATATCTGTGTAGACACGGTGTTGATTTTATACAAGTTGTGTTGTACATGTCCTGTGGTTTATACCTGTAGTATATCTGTGTAGTTTGTGGAATCATGTTTATTTCCTGAAATCATGTACAGGTGTAGATAGGTGAACAAAGCTTAGTTACATACAGTAAAAAACTTTCATGTACCAACTATTACTATTTATAGATGTAGAAATGTAGTACATACATTACAGTAATGGAATTAAATGAGTTGTGAAAAATGTACATGTCAGTGCTGGCAGTATGCCAAGTCCTAGTTGTATGTTTCATTTGTTATCAATATGCAGTCTTGTAGATAATATAACAACAACAAAATGTTTACAATGTTGGTCTGGATGGTGAGCTTATGGGTAATAATGGCTCTAGACCCGTAGAGCACTGTAGTCATGAACAATGTTCATGGTTAGTTATTGAACCACTTCTGAGGTGTTTTCAGACTTGTAGCTAGGTTCAGAAGAGCCAGATTTGTTTGTACATGTATACCTTTATAAGATCTTTATTTATCAATTGCCAGTCTATTTAAGCCATCCAGGTAAGACTCTGAAAAAAAGTTTGCTGCATGGTTGGTTAATTACCTGTTTGTGTTTGTTAACATTACACCAAGTATCAATATACAAGAAAATGTGTATAGACACCAGGCTTTCCTGTCAGACGAGTACAGTGTCCAAATATCCTAGAATCGTGTAGTGATGAAATATGCACACACATTTAGTATTGTACGCCTAGCCATTAAACAGAGCATCCCCCCCTGGAATATCCCCAGACAACAACGGCTTGCATGCATCAGCCCATCCTCTGAACTAGCTAGAGACCATCCAGCTTTAAGCTTCTCATTACATGGTCCGATGTTATAAAATATTGATAGGCAATATGGACTGTTTAAATAGGCTTCTTTACAAATGTCAGTGTTGAGTTTTAACCCGAGACCAGAGCTAGTTCCTTGTGAATTGATTAGTGTTGGATTTATGTGTCCTTCACATTAGTATCTCCCAGGTCCGGTTACATTAATTGACTGGTAGAACATCAGGTTAGGGTTATGGACTTAGATGTGCATTAACAATACAGTATTTGACATAATAAAGGTGCTGGGATCGGTAAATGACATACAGATTCATCCTCAAATAACACATTTTGTATTTTGACTATTTACCAATCATGAAACAATTGTGATTGTCCCTTTTTCCCACTCCCAAATTGAATTCCTTTTTAGTAAAGCAGTTTATCACTCTGAAAGATTAAATTGGTCACTGATGAACAGATAATATTTCATATATCAGCTTTGATTTCATTACTAAACTGATGACAGTGCTATTTTGTCTAACTAATTATAAAAAACCCAAAAAAAACAGGAAAGGATAAAATCTGTAACAGAAAAAGTCTGGAATTTAATGATAAACTTTCAATTCATATTTTCAAAATCCCTTGGGGCACCTTCATTAAAGTAGAAACCTCACAAGGTAAGATATTTTAATGTTAGAACTATTCACTAATCAAGTTTTGATAAACACAATATAGTACAACTGTTCTTAAGTAGATTTTATGATGCAGATGCTTGATTGAGCAATAGAGTTAACGCATAGCCTTTCAATACAGATTAACTTTTGATGTAATATATATTTTACAAAGATAAAACATTTTCAGCACACTTGTCACCCTTGTCATCCTGACGTTGTAGTGTTTGTTCGTGTGTTGTCTGTTCATACTTCAACCCATCATGTAGACTGCCCCAGTGTAGTTGTCAGCCCGTTAGTTGGCCCTTGACAAATTACGACGGGGGTATACTGTAAGTTACTTATCTTTCGTGAGGGATTTGTTTCTGAATCTACAAGCAAGTCAAGAGAGGTGATAATGTGAGAAATAAGTGATTTGCAGTATGCTTTTAGTCAAATGCATGGAAAAGTAGGTATGTCATTGTCGCCCCTGTATATTGTGTAATCCCACGCTTTTATGATAGTAATGTCAACAAGTCTGTCATCAGGATGGAAACACTTTAAGGAAGATATTTAATTGTGTAAACTGTTGTTGTATTTAGCAGAAGGGCAAAATGAAATGTGATTTGGTTAGCATTAAAACTTTAATAGGATGGAAAATTCTAAAATTTGCAATGGAAATTTTATTCACATGTAGAATTTTAAACCTTTAAAATTGGTTTAGTCAAAAGTTTGTCACATTTGATGATAGTGCAGGGCATTGAGTTTAAAATTTCAAAGGATTTTCACCTTATCGTCGAGAGTGTGGAAGAAAAATTATCACTCCTATGTGATACAGACAGCAATCTCTACCCTCAGAATAAGATATTTCTCCGCCGTTTACTTCAGACTTTACTTTTTGGCTCGAGAATGTGTCTGATAGTATCCTTCATTGCTTATATCAGTATTTTGTAAATTGCCTGTTGTATCTTCAATTATAAAAATGGAAGGAATGCTAGTCGCAAAATTTTGCTATTGACTTTCTGTTTGACCGTCAACTAACAGATGGTGTATGTATGTAAGTACAAAGGTTGTGACACCTGTAAAAGCTTAGCTCCTCCACTGGTTCCTAGCGCTTGTGACATGTTAGACCTCACCTAAGATGACTGGGGCTGGGGTAATAGCCTCGGGTTCCTGCGTTGGGATTTCCAGTTGGCCTGTGCTCTCTATATCTGTTTCCTGTTGTAGGTCAGCCAGGGTATTCCCAGCAGCAGGGACAGACCACTGTAGTTGTGGCTCAGCCGGCTGTGACTGTGGTGCAGCAGTTCCGTGAGTCGCCTGTCCACACTCGCTGCCCCCATTGCCAGGCTGAGGTGGTCACTGCTACCCAGTATGAGACTGGCACCTTCACCTGGATCATATGCCTTGTCCTGTGCATTGTCGGGTAAGTCACACAAAGGTTCCCCATGAGTCCTAGTTATGTATATCTTATTTTGGAACTGATCACAAAACTAAGATGGCCAACAGCAAGCCATCTTGAATTTGAGAATGAAAGTTTGTTAGCGCTATTTCTCATAAAGTATTTGTTGGATATTTCTCCAATTTCACACGAAGGTTCCCCGGGGTCCCTAGTTATGCATATCGTTCTTTGGGACTGATCACAAAACCAAATTGGCCGACAGGCTGCCATCTTGTATTTGTGAATGAAAGTTTGTTAGCCTTATTTCTCAGAATGTTCAGGAGGGGTCTTTCTCAAATTTCACATGAAGGTTCCCAATGGTTTCTAGCTCCACATTTTGAATTTTAGGGATGATTGGAAAACGAAGATGGCCAGCAGGTGGTCGTATTGCCTAAAAAGTATTGGAGGGATCTTTCTCAAATTTCACATGATTATGATTTACAATGAAAAAATATTAATACTGTTCGTGTACCGGGATGAAAATTACGAATACTGTACATGTGCTCAGGTGAAAATTAAAGATTATGGAATGTTTACTTCGAAGAAAATTAGGAATGCTATACATATGCTCAGGGAAATATTTGATACACTTGTCTCTGCATGTGCTCAGGATAAAATAAGGAATATAGAAAATACAACTATTGCACATCAAGCAAAAAAGCATCTCTTAATATAGTCCTGCATGTACTTCCTGTTATGGAAACTGTTCAGGGAACTAACATTTCAACATGCAAATATGAGGCAGGTTTAGCAGCTTTATTTATAATCCTTTGCATAAAGTTATGCATGTACTTACATAGAACCACTATTTTGCTATGCTCCTTATTTGGATATCAATTTTAATTATTTAAGTTTGCATGTTGCTTGTTTATTTGAATTTTGAAGGTAAAATTTATATGATTTATTTTCTAGACTCCACATTCTATTGAAAATAGTTTGATTTTACATTTCGTCGCTGTATCGTACATCGTGTCTACAGTATCAGCACAAGAAAACAACCGGTGCCTCGTGAATATTTGTTTGCGAATTTTCGTGTCTTATCATTTTAATGTTTACTGCGAAACTGAGAGGAGACTGGGTCAGGGATGGTAAGCATGAAGTGAAAATTTCATTGTTGCATAAATAATATACAGTAGAATTTGGTTGTCTTTATAGGTAATCTACTTGTTCACCATCTAATGGCATTTTTAATTTGCGGTATCTGATGCAGTTTGCGATACCTGATACTATCCGATGCAACACTTACACATCTAATGTAAATCCAACATCAGACACTGGGTGACTGCTGTTGTATTTTGGATAACCAGATTCTACTGTAAACAGAAACCTGTCTAGTATACACAGTAGTACTGATTGACCACACATACGCCCTAAAGGGATATTGACAGACTGAATTGATACAAGTTTGTTGAATACTTGGAATAAATTATCAATAGATGTCAATTTCCTTTCTCTCTCTATATCTAATGAGTTATATGCAATACTCCTTATGATTATAAAAAATGATGTGGTGGTCAATCAAACATTGTGGAATATGATGGCTGGTTTCACTGTTATACTGTGTATTGGTGTAAAAGAGACTAACGGGAGGTGGCTGGATTACTTCCCTTTATTAAAATGGCTGGTAGAGATACAGCCACGAGGTCTGGAGCATCAGGCAGCATTTGAACTTTGTTGTGCTGGGAGGTGTTGGGGGCAGCTTGTCCAGACCTCTTAACAGGGTCAAAAATAATTCATAGACATGCATGATACTGTACTACATTTGTAGAAATAATTATTTTCATTTCAGCTGTAGTAGTGAGTTCCTATACATTGCAAACAAATAGCTACCAGTCGTTGCAAAAACATAGCTGTCTCTGACATTCAGCAGGATTATGGAGGAAAAAAACATGTTTCTAAAAACTGTTCTTGGGGATAGACAATATATGATAATAGCGAGTAGAGAGTAAAAGATGCTCTACCTGATTGACCTGAATCTATTTGATGTACTAGTTCACTGTGTAAAGTTCTTAAGGATACTTATTTGTTCAGAATAGACATTATCATAGTAAATAAAGTAATTGAGTACTCAGACATTGTTGTGTACAATCGCCAAGTTTTGCATGTGACTACCTCTTCGGATGGCGGAGAATCCGATCTTAAAATCGGGACTTGCCCCACTTTATAAGAGTAAGGACCGCTTAATTTGTTAACTGTGTCACTGTGTAGGGACATTTCATTCACTCTTCTTACCTACAGTTGATAAAAGTTTGTGAGTACCTTTTAGGATACTGGAGTGTCACATACCGAAATCCGTCCTGTGCCCCATTATATATAGAGTTATAGTCCTTTGTTCATACACAAAACTAAAGATGGGGCACTATGGAATCCGTCCTGTGCCCCATTATATATAGAGTTATAGTCCTTTGTTCATACACAAAACTAAAGATGGGGCACTATGGAATCCGTCCTGTGCCCCATTATATATAGAGTTATAGTCCTTTGTTCATACACAAAACTAAAGATGGGGCACTATGGAATCCGTCCTGTGCCCCATTATATATAGAGTTATAGTCCTTTGTTCATACACAAAACTAAAGATGGGGCACTATGGAATCCGTCCTGTGCCCCATTATATATAGAGTTATAGTCCTTTGTTCATACACAAAACTAAAGATGGGGCACTATGGAATCCGTCCAGTGCCCCATTATATTTAGTGTTATAGTCCTTTGTTCATACACAAAACTAAAGATGGGGCATTCTGTAGGAATGAAAAAAGGATTTATTCTATATTTGGTTTGGAGCATCCGTGGGTGAAGGGGAACCAATTTTGTATAAATGGTGGGTGTGGCCCCCTTGGGGGCTGAGGGGTGGGGCCCAAAAGGGGAAATATAGCAAATTCTTTAATATCCTTCTTCTTCTGTAGGAATGAAAGGATTTGTCCCATATTTGGTCTGAAGCATCCTTGGGTAAAGGGGAACCAATTTTGTATAAACCGTCGGTATGGCCCCCCAGAAGCCTGAGGGGCGGGGCCCAATAGGGGAAACATAGCAAATTATTCTTTAAAATCCTTCTTCTTCTGTAGGAATGAAAGGATTTGGTCCATATTTGGTGTGGAGCATCCTTGGGTAAAGGGGAACTAATTTTGTATGAACTGTGGGTGTGGCCCCCCTGGGACCTGAGGGGTGGGGCCCAATAGGGGAAAGAGAAGTAAAACCTTTATAATCCTTCTTCTAACATATAGATTAAGGGATTTTATCCTAATTTAGTCTTGAGCATCCTTGGACAAAAGGGACTCAATTTCGTATAAACAGCGAGTGTGGCCCCCCTGGGGGCAGAAGGGAGGGGCCCAATAGGGGAAACATAGCAAATTCTTCAAATACCTTCTTCTTCTGTACCAATGATAGGATTTTGTCCAAATTTGGTATGAAGCATCATTGGGTAAAGGGGAACCAATTTTGTATAAACGGTGTGTCTAACCCCCCTGGAGGCAGAGAGTCGGGGCCCAATAGGGGAAATAGAGGATTAACATTTAAAATCCTTCTTCTACCATAGGGATTAAGGGATTTTATTCTAATTTAGTCTGGAGCATCCTTGGGCCAAGGGGACTCAATTTTGTATAAGCAGTGGGTGTCGTCTCCCAGGGGGCAGAAGGGAGGGGCCCAATAGGAGAAATAGGGGTAAAACATTTAAAATCCTTCTTCTACCATAGGGATTAAGGGATTTTATCCTAATTTAGTCTGGAGCATCCTTGGGCCAAGGGGTCTCAATTTTGTATAATTGGTGGGTATGACCCCCCTAGGGGCAGATGGGTGGGGCTCTGTTTGAAGTTTGTTCTCGCTATATCTCAAGTACTGGATGGATCTTTCTGAAATTTCATATGTACTTACAGCACCTTCCATGGGGTGCTATATCTTTACTTTATACCAATTATTTTAAACATATTTAGGTGAGTGATATAGACCCTCTGGACCTCTTGTTAGCCTTGTTAGAATATATTAAGTAGCTGAGTATGCATGCAGTTAGAATACATCAAGTAGTTGAGTGTAATGATATCATTTCTTGCAGCAAATACAATACATTTTCATCGTCTATTGGCGAACTGGTATATACACAGGGCATGATTGTTTACCAATGTATGCACATAATCTGATATATTGATATGCAACCTATACAGAAGCTATTGCTTACCTTAACCTTCTCCATAAACCATTGTTGAACCCTGCAATTGATGCCTGTTAAGATCCCTTAAATCAATACTGGTTTACAACCATGATGTTGGCAGCTGTTAAGAACCTCAAATACACTGGTTCCTCCTGCTGACACTGGTCAGACCCATCAAACGGATACTGGTTAAGATAACATGGCATGATTAATAACCAACATATACCTATAACATCACTGATCAGACCCATCATACGGATTCTGGTTAAGATAACATGACATGATTAGTAACCAACATATGCCTACAACATCACTGATCAGACCCATCAAACGGATAGTGGTTCAGATAACATGACATGATTAGTAACCAACATATGCCCATAACATCACTGATCAGACCCATCAAACGGATACTGTTTAAGATAACATGACATGATTAGTAACCAACATATGCCTACAACATCACTGATCAGACCCATCAAACGGATACTGGTTAAGATAACATGACATGATTAATAAACAACATATGCCTATAACATCACTGATCAGACCCATCAAGCGGAGACTGGTTAAGATAACTTGACATGATTAGAAACCAACATATGCCTATAACATCACTGATCAGCCCCATCAAACGGATACTGGTTAAGATAACATGACATGATTAATAAACAACATATGCCTATAACATCACTGATCAGACCAATCAAACGGATACTGGTTAAGATAACATGACATGATTAATAACTAACATATGCCTATAACATCACTGATCAGACCCATCAACCGGATACTGGTTAAGATAACATGACATGATTAATAAACAACATATGCCTATAAC